GGGCACCAGCAGAACCCGCAGCAGCAGACGCCGGGATGGGAGCGGCGCCCCTCGGCCGTGTCCGCTAGAGCTTTCTGTCACGGTTGGCCACAGGGCGCGATCGGCCCTGCGCGCTCAGCGGGACGTGCTCGCCGCACAGAGCTGGCTGGGCGCGGGCGCTGACCCCTAGACCTGGACACCGCGGGAAAGCAGGTGTGGCCGGGACATGGAAAATGAGGCCCACAAAAGCTCCCAGGGGCCCTCTCTGGTGGCAGCGCTATGAAGCCGCTTTAGCACGAGTCCGACCCCGGCCAGGGAGGGACCCCGGGGCGCAGCAGACCCCGTCTCCCCGCTGCCCCCTCGGCAGTGGGTTTGAGTCACTCCGCCTGCTCTGCTCCCCACTGTCTCTGGGGAGTCCTCTCACCCCTGCCCCTCTGGCCGGCACCCCAGTTCTGTGTGCATAAATAAATCTTAAAAAAACAAACAAACCTCCCAGTAGACAGTCTGGGGACGCCACGGTCCAGATCAGCCACGCTATCCCGTCCCACGCGGCTCTCGGCCCACGGCCGCCATCTTTTCGCTGTCAGAGCAGCGCTCCCGCCGCTCGTCTGCGCAGGCGTCTCCTCTCCTTTTCCTAATAAGCCTGTCCTTTTCAGAACGAATTCAAAAATAAAATAAAATAAAGACAGCAGGCCTCCCTGGGGCGCAGGGCGAGCCTCAGCACCGTGAGGCTGGGGCAGCCGCTGCACCGCGAGTCCAGTCCCGGCCAGGGAAGGACCCTGGGACGCAGCAGAGCCCGGCGGTCGGCTCCCCAGCGTCTCTGTGAACCCTCTGACCTCCCCACCCCTCTGGCCTGCACCCCAGTTCGTGTATGTATAAATTAAAAGAAATCTTTGAGGGGAAAAACCCCAACAGACCCTTCCAAACAGAAAGGCCACCTCAGTGGCTACTGAAAACGCTCCCCCAGCCCAGGGGCGCTGCAGACGGCCTGCTAGCTCGCAGGAAACTCGCGCCGGGGCGCTCTCAAAGCTCCGCAACTTTGTAAAAACCGACCGTGGAGAACACTCGGAACTGCTGGCGCCCCTTTCACTGCCGCGGACACGGGTCCCGGCCGCCGCCGCGCCCCTCGCCCAGGGCCTCTCGGGCCGGGCCCTCCCCGCAGCCTCACAGGCGCGCTCCAGCTCACGGCGGTTCTGCCGCACAGCCTGGAAGTGACCGCGGCCAGGGCGACGCTCGCGCAGGGCGCGACCCTGCTCGCTGCGGCCGGGGGGACACCGGCCCG